ATGTGTGGGGAACATGATAGATACTGTCAGACTCAATCATTGTATTGGTTAGTTTTGCTAAAGTACTTTTTTTCCCCTCTTTTTCATACTTTGTTACTTGCTATGACACTACAGGGAGAGAAAAGGACCTGTGTTTGGAAATGAGCATAATGTAAAAACAAAAAATTTCAATAAAATTATTTTTAAGTAAAACAATTTATAGAAAAGGATCACTTACCTAAAAGCTATGTATGAGTCAATGATCTGGGCCTCCAACTCTTTTTGCCTAATCTGGAACGCCTTTCATTTTAGAGGGGGAGTCTCAACCAGATGAATTCTAGATTAGTGCTGAATCAGAGATGGCCGAGTCAAGGAATAACCAGTACAGACCCTGGAAAGAGGTGAGTTGGCTCAAAGTAGAGATAGAAAGTTTCAGAATTACTTTCCCTCTAGTTTCTATAATCAGACAGGGGAAGGGGGGGGCAGGGGAGTCTGGTACTCAATCATCAAAATGAGGCAATCAGGTAGTTTACTTAGGAGACTAGGGAAAGAAAATTCAACAAAATCAAGATCAGCTGTGTTCAAAGAAAAAAATGGGGGGAGGTGGATGGAACCCATAACAATCCCAGGGCTTTTGAGCTTAAAGAGAATTTAGAGATCATTTAGTCTAACCTTTTCTTATTTTCCAGAGGAAAAAACTAAGACCTGGGAGACTGGGTGACTTGCCCACAATTATCTTAACAGTGCCAAGTGAAAGAAAGTGAACTTTACCTGACAACTTGATATGGTCATAAAGACAACTCCAGATGATTGATTCTGAGAAAATCAGCAAAGGGGAAACAGCTGTTAGTTCTCAGGCTATTTAGGAAGTGTTGAGAGGTACCCTGCTGTGTGTGGAGTGATTCTTCCATTCTTTCTTTTATATACTTGTGAGGAAAGTGCTTTGCAAACCTTAAAAAGTTCTATAGAAATGTGAGTTATTGCAGTTGTTATGATGATGATAATGTTATCTTTATCGTCTACATTAGGAGTTCATTATGGGAAGAAGTTTAGTCTACATACCAATCCTTGGTTTTTCTAAACTGCATTTCCTCAAATCAAAATTGCTGACAATCCAAAGCAATTATTAGCAAAAAATGGACCCTAATCATGAGCCTTCTGGTTTTACTAATTTTTTTAAGTTCTTAAAGATATATTTGCATCATATTACAAGAGAATCAAATGCTAATCTACCCACATGACCTTGGGCAAGTCACTAGATAGTAATTGACATTTATATACCTTTTTAAAAGTCTGAGAACGGCTTCGAATTTATGATCACATTTGAACCAAATGATAACCCCATGCTGTAGATAAATTCACATTTTTTAACAGAAATTCAGAGAGGTTAAATGAGGTTTTGCCCATAGTCACACAGCTAATAATTGTCAGAGGTGGGATATGAGCCAAGCCTTCCTCACTCTAACATCCATTATTCTCCTCACTGAACCATGCTACTACTTAAGTTTTCTTCCTTATAAAATACAGCATAATGTATGCTCTCTCCAAGGTCCCACCCAGCTCTGAGTCTTATCATTCTAGTCAATAAGCATTTATTAAAGCATCTACTATGAGCTAGACACGGTCATAAGTCAAAGAAAGGCCAGCAATCAAAACAAGCAAAAACAAACAAAGAAACAAACAAGCCTTGTTCTCAAAGTTATCACAGTCTAATGGGGGAGATTACCTGCCAACAACTCTGTACAAACAAGATATATGCAGGATAAATTGGAGATTAGCTTAGAGAGAAGGCACTGGCATTAAGTAGGATCAGGAAGGACTTCGTGTAGAATTTTAGGTGGGACCTGAAGGAAGCCAGAGGAGGCAGGGGGTGGATTTGAGGAGAGAAATTTCCAGATCTGGGGAGTAGGAGGTGGGGCCCAGCTGAGGGAGGCCACTATGAAAATTCCTGGAGTCCAGAGATGGAGTGTCTTGTAGTGAGGAACAGCAAGGAGACCAGTGTCTCTGAATCTCAGAGTACCTGAAGGGAAGTAAAGAGTTTGATGAATTTTCCTTTAGAAGCCCATAAAGGAATAGATTTAGAAAAACCAAAAGACGTGACGTTTGCTATTGCTGTATTTGCTTATTGATAGAGCATGTTCGAACACAGATGAGAACATTGCCATTCATTTTCTAACAATCTAGAGAAGGCAAAAAAAAAATGTAGAATGGTCTTGAGAGCTATGGTATTGACTCTCCTCAATTCAGTTTGGACTTTGGGTGGCAATATTAAACATGACTTGCTATTCACAAAGCTCCAACTGGTGATTTACAAAGCTCAAGTCAGGAAAGACAAGGCCTCTAGTCCAAGATGAAGCCCCACCTTACATGAGGGTATTCTTTCAGTGAAGGACAAAAGCAAACAGCTAAAAAGATACGCAAACAGCTAAAAAGATACGCAAACAGCCGGGATAGGCTGTTAATGGCCATTGACTGGTGGCTGAGTGTGCCCAAGGCCTGAGCAGGTGTATCTAAGGGGCCCCAGCAGATGGCGGTAAAAGCTAGAGCTGGTAAGGTAGGCATGAAGATTAATCTATCCCCAGTAGACCAAGTACGTGAAAGTCAAAGCCAAAAATGGATGGATACGTGTATGCATGTGTGTGTACACATATATACTGATGCACACTTATGGGTGTTTACACATCACACTAAAGTTTTACTCCAATGCCTCATCATGGTATGACAGTATCCCTGGGTTTTTAAAGGCCATGACAGAAAATATAAACTATGGCATTGTCTGCTGAACTAGAAAGTATAGGCTGTGTCTCTGCTGAATAAAATATGTCTTAATAAGTTCAAAAAGACATGCCACCAAAAAGTGGACCACCAGGTGTTTTGGGGGGAGTGAGAGTAGAGACCAGGGGATAGGGATTCCCCAGCAACTGAAGAAATCTGTCTTCTAAGGCATAGAGTGATTGTTAAAAGGATTACCCACACCAAAGAACTGAAATATCCTCCATATATTGAAACGTGTATTATGTATGTATACATGTTCCTATCTCTCCTATTCTCCAACTGAAAAATATTGAAAAAAATATAATTCAGATCTCTAAATATACACACAAGAATTGTAATGGTTTAATTGCTAGAGGGTTGGTTACAGCATCAGGATGAACTGGATTCTGGTCTTGTTTCTGACATAGACTGGCTGTGTGACCTTGGACAAGTCCCTCTCAGTGCCTCAGACTAAGCTTCAAGTTGTAGATATATTGCATTGAGGAAAGGAATTTCCATAGAAGTCTCCCTGCACTGATGAAATCACAGTTCATATATTTAAATCCAGAAATGAGGAAAAGTGATAGTTGCGATAAGACCTGAAATTATGACCCAGAGGACTGGCCCTTCATTTATCATGATTGGCATGCAGGCTTTTTTTTTTTTTGGTCCATACCTGTGATTTCATTGGAAAAGAGAATTCTATGTGGGAAAATGGCTTTTACCAACACAGAACAACAATCATCCTGAAAGTTATAGTCTTAAAGAATTACCTGCGACACTTAGAGGTTCAGTTATTTCCACAGGGCCATATAGTTTAATTATGTGTTAGAGTCAGGGCTTGCTGGGGATTCCTGACTCCAAAACTGGGCTGTGTACTATGGGTAGTGATAGATATGCTACACACACACACACACACACACACACACACACACACACACACACACACACACACACACGTACATCATATATATATACAAAGGAAAATCAATAAAACATTTTTAATGCACAGAAAAAGAACCTCAAAAGCATAGATGGAAAAGAACAATTTTGTTACTACCTAATTAAATTTAATACATATATACTTCTTTTTTAAAGAAACTACATTAACAATTCATAATTTCTTATATAATCCTCTTTCTTTGTATAATGAAAATTTTAAAGATACTGGATATTGCATATACAATAAAATATTATATATACAAAATGCTATTATATATGCAATTCAATATTATATATTGAATTTTAAAAGAAAAAATACATTTTATGGACTGAGAATTGGGACAAATGAATCATTTAATTTAAACATTTTTTCAAGGCTCCCACATACCATGCATTAATATCAGTGAGAAGCACCTGCCGTTCAAAAGATACATCTACAGTAAGTTTTGATCAAGTCTCTGTGCCTGGTTATTATAAAATAGCACAAAAGGAAACAGGCTTTTGTTGTAGAAAAAAAGGATTTGCTAATGAAGACTTCCCTGACTGAGGAAGGGAGCAAAATATTGGAGTGAATGACAGAGGAAGGGCATATATGAGCTCTCTCCTTCACTAGCATGGAAGAGAAGTAGACCTGAAATCAGAAGATCTGTGTTATTAAAAGTGAACTTACACTATTTGGTCAAATTATTAGGCCTCCCCTGGCCTTAGTTCCCAAATGAGGAGGTTGATTGACTTTAAAGTTCTTGCTTCTGGAGATGTTTTAAATGAGATGGATTAAGCATGAAAGAAGTTAGGAGGAGAGGGGGGAATAAGCATTTATTTAGTGCCTACTGTACTAAACTTTACAAATTTTTTTTCATTTGATCCTCACAACAACTTTATGGAGTAGGTACTTTTACCATCCCCATTTTACAGTTGAGGAAACTGAGGAAAACAGAAGTTAAAAGTGACTTGCCCAGGCTCACACAGTGTCTGAGGCTGGATTTGAATTCCAGGTATGGGGTTCTATCTACTATCAAAGGCCAGGGGTGGCCTCAAGGCTAAAGGCTCCCCACCCCTGGCCCTAGATAAAACTTTACAAATTAGGTTTACAGAATGCATTCATCACAGCGAGCCTCTGAGATAGGGTTTATATACTATCCCAGCTGCGTGTGTGGAGGGAGGGGTTTGGAGGGAAGGCTAAATTGTACCTGTGATTTCACTGATATAGGGAACTCCTGAGGAGGAAATTCACATAAACAGTGCAAACCTTGAACAACCACGTTATCTTCAAGAGTTGCCTTGGGCACTGAAATGCTCAAAAGCCAAGAAGTGAAATGACTTACCCTGAGTCACACAGCCACTTTGTTTTAAGGATAGGTCTGGAACTCAGATCTTCCTGACTGGCTCTCTCTCTCTTCCACTGCAACTGCTAAATTATTCATCCCCATTTTTACAGATGAAGAAGTAGAAGCTCTGAGATGTTAACTCAGCACCAGACAACTAATAAGGTCAGAAGAAAGACTCAAACCACTGTCTTCCTGACTCTGAGCCTAGTTCTCTATCCAGGATTCCCCGGCAAAGCTAGGGAGGAGGCTACAAGATGGGAGAACGATAAAAAGCGTGCCCCTCCCCCCCACTCCGAGTCCAGAGTCTTGAGAAGCCACTGGAGCCATGATTCTGATCATTTTCCCACCTCTTTTTTTGGATAGGATAACTTATTGACTGCTCCGTGGCTGCCGGACCCTGCTGTGTTTGCCGTTCCATTTGACCTGTTTTGCCTTCTCCCAAAATAGTCTTGCTTGATGAGAAGTATAACCTCAGCAAATAGTCTGGTACAGGGAAGCAGCAACAGATGATCAGTTTCCCTCCTGTGTTTTTTAAGCTGAAGCCAAAGGCACCAAGAAATGAGCATGGCTCTCAACAATACTTGGCTGTGTGTACCATGGCCCCTGGCAGCCTCCATGGCTGTACCAGCCAGGACTCTTGTTTCATTTCTCGCTGCATAATAAAAGAGGGTTTTATTTTTGGTTTCAAAACACTCTGTTTGGGTAGAAGCAAAGCTCCATTTTGACTGATCATTTTCCTCCTCTCTGTGACATTATTTCTTAAAAGCAATGTTCTTTGCATCTCATTTTGGGGGCTGCATTTACACTGTTCACTATCCAAAGATAATAGCATTCTGACTGAGCAAAAGATACCATTTACCGGCTCAGTATTTTTCCAGGACGATTTGTTGAAGCAGATTTAGGGAAGGCTGGGAGGAAGGGGGAGGGGAGGAATCAAATTCATGTTGCTGTGGCAACTTCGACAAAAGTTAATGCTATACTATCTATTCTTTGAGTGCAGTTTACTTCTTAAAATATCATCGATTTCCTTCGTGCAAAGAAGCAATTAGCCAGTCCTATAAAAGATGATGCTTTTTTTTTTCCCTGTTAGGTTCTAGAAGGTCAGCCTGAAATGAAACTTTTTCATAGAACAATAACAGAGGTTCTTCAAAAGATATACCAAGTGTGTCTGGCTGCCTTGATGAATGGCCCATGTTAAAGTATTAAACCCCAGAGACTTCGCTGTCTGTCCCATGGTAGAGCTACTCAATAAAATAATTTGGGGAGTTACCACAGTGCAGTTCACGGAACACAAACCAGCCAAGCTCTCTGGATAAACCACTTACTCTCTGGCCCATCAGCTTGTTTCAGTCCCTTCAAAAAGCCCCCTTTTTTGTGCAGCCTGGCAGCATAATAATTGTCAGTCAGCCAGTCAACAAGGATTGAGCAACTGTGCAGTGCAGTGAATAATAACATATACTGTGGATGCAAGAGACACAGTCCTGACTTCAAGGACCTTATAATAAAAATGGGGAGCCAGAATAGCTGGTGGGGGGAGGGGGGAAGGTGGGGAAATCACATAAGGAAAAAAAGTCCCTTGCTTCCTGCAAATTATTATTTGCTAGCATTTTCCCTGAGAGATGAAGAGCGTGCTTCAGTGTTGGAAAAACCTGGGTTCAAGTCTGCCTTCTGACACCTACTGAGTGCGTAACCAAGTCACTTAACCTCCAAGTGCCCCAGAGCCAATCTGTATTGGGAAAGGGGGTTTCTTCCCTTATGCCAGTGAAATCACAATTTCAACCAACAAGACCAAACCAAAACAAATGCAAATGAAGTACATAGGAGGACGTGCATCTGCAAACAGAAGTCTACTTGTGCAGACACACATCTGAATGTGCCTGTCTATCTCTGGAGTGAGGGTTGTGGAGTGATTCAAGTGGCTAGTGGGGTCAGATGGGGAGAGTCTGGGAGGATTTCATGCGAGAGGTGTCTTGCTTGAGCAGTGTTTTGAAGGACGGAAGGAACATGGTTTGGCAGAGGAGCACTGCATTCCAGACACCAGAGAAAGGCATGTGGAAAGGCCTGAGGGCAGGAGGCAACAGGTCATGTGGAAGTTGGTTTGACTTGGAGCAGGGGGGGACAAGCTCAGATGTTAATTCAGTATCTTTAGACTAGTCTTGGAGCTTTCCCAGGAAAAAAGTAAAGAAATCTAAAAAATACTGAAAAGGAGAAAAAATCCCACCAAATTAGTAGCTTATATGAAACTAAGTATATGATGAAAATTCCTGCCCATAGAAAATAAATCTAATATTAGTTGTTGTTGTTGTTCAGTCTTTTCAGGTGTGTCTGACTCTTGGGGGTTTTCTTGGCAAAGATACTAGAGTGGTTTGCCATTTCCTTCTCCAGCTCATTTTCGAAATGAGGAAACTGAGGCAAATAGGGTAAAGTGACTTGCCCAGGGTCACACAGCTAGTAAGTGTCAGAGGCCGGATTTGAACTCTGGTCTTCCTGCCTCCAGGCCAACGTTAAAGAGTCTCAAAAAGATACCACAAATTGCTCTTTTCTCCTGTCAGCTCTATTACTCCATAATAGTGAAAGATAGAAATGTTAACATTTCTGTACTATAACTGCAACTTATACCACAAAGGTCTAAACTCTATATTAATGATGTCATCTGAGTATGCTCCCATGGTTTGGTAATAGAATTCTCTCAACTGAGAGAAAAATGAAGGAGCTTTTCTCCACAATTAATTTTTTTCTACCATAACTATATTATAAACACACAAGCACAATTTTTTCGTATCTCTGGTTAATCTTTAAATGTACTTAGGGATACTTCTTAGGAATGCTCCTTTTCACTATCCTGAGTTATAGTGACTGAGCAATCTGAAGAGCAGAGCCCTAAACCCCTTGCTGACAATGAGCACAATTCCAAGACTGAGTTATCACTGGCTTTGAACAATTATCACTGTCTTGCATGAATTCTGTGAGGTGGATTTTCAACAGGATACATTAACAGTTTTTAATTATTAATCCTGAGGTTTTTTCCAATTGTCCTTTGCAACCCAAACAAAGAGGACAGAGGCAAATAATTAACATATGAAAAATTATTTGATAGGGAGAAAAAAGAACATTCATAGAATCACAAAACATTAGAGCTAGAAAGGACTTTAAAGATAGATCGGAGGATCATAAATTTTGAGTGGGAAGGACAGTTGAAGGCCATCCAATCCAATGCTCTCATATTACAGATGAGAAAATGAGACCCCTGGAGGTTAAGTGACTTGCCCTTAGTAAGGCAGGTAGCAAATAACATCTCTGGGATGTGAACCCGGGTCCCCTGACTCTAAATATAGCAAGCACAAATTCCACTATGCCAGGCCACCTCACCACAGAGAGAGTCAGTGCCAGAACTTGAACTGGAGGGAACCTTAGAATTCTTCTTTCCACTAGACCATTTTATAAAGTATTATCTATTGTTAACAATTCCATCTTGTCAAATGGCAATTTGTACAGTTCTCATCAATAATCTATTGGAATGAGTGTGTATATATATACACACACATACACACATGCATATTTGTGTCTAATAGTAGCCATCTTAGGGAAAGGGGAGGGAAAAAAAAGAAAAAATTTGCATGATAACTATTACATATTTTAAAGGAATAGCAAGTTGTATATAACAGATTTGCAGTTTCATGTGCAATCATCTTTTTTTATTAAACTGTGTTAGGGAAACGCTTGTTTTATTCCATAAATTACAATAAAACTTTTTTTAAAAGAATCTATAAAGTTTTATAAAGCTTCTGTGTCCACATTAGTCTTTGAACTGTGCATTCTTGAGGGCACATATAAATGTATGTGTTGGGGGGGAGGTTTTCTGGTTGTTGGTTTCATTTTAACTAATTTTTGTGATATTAGTAGCATCATTTTATGGAGTCAAATTTGCAGAATCGACTTCTCACCTCGATAATGTAATTAAAGTATGCTCCCATGGTTTAGTAATACAATTCTCTCAATTGAGAGAAAAATGAAAGAACTTTTCTCCGTAATGATTTTTTTTCTACCATAACTATAAATCTGTATTAAGACAACTGAACCTAAATGAAATACCACACAATAAATTTTAGGAGCACATATACAGAACAAGCTTGTTAATGAAATAAACACCCAAGCACAATTTTTTGTACTGTGATTAATCTTTAACTGCTATCGTTCTGAGGATGGTTGGTATTACCCATTAACTTGATGACAAATCTTCGTTACTATGAGTTTTGGAGTCAGACTCTCTTAAGCTTGTCCATTGCTCCAAGACCTCAGTCCAAAATGGTAGCCTGAAAACCCTCAAGGTAGGCTCCTTGACAGCAAAAACTTTCATTTCTTGTTTTGTATCTCTAGCATAGTTCTTGGCACATAGAGAGGACTTCAAAAATTGTTTAGCAGTAAGTGATCTATAGACTTTATTTAGGATGATAGACCTAACTGGAGAAAAGACTTAGTCTGCCTATTCTGGATCAGCTAAAGATACTTCAAACTCTTCTTTCTAATTCTCCTGTATCCGGTCTACCCAGACAGCAAAAAACAGGAAAAGAGAGATTGTATTAAAAAGGCATCTCTGTAGGGTTGTATGAATACCTTCATGACTTTTCCCCTGATGGGAAGAGGCAGTGGCAATAGGAATAACTATTCCTATTTTCCTTACTCCTCACCCCTCCAAGGGTGAGCCAACATATGTTATATATACTCCTGAACCAGAGGTGTCAAACACATATCCACAAGTGGCAATCCTGCCAGCAACACTCCCAGTGCAGTCTGAGGAGATTAAAATGTAATTAGGAAATATTTAACAAAGGAAGTAAAGCTAAAATAGAACATGGATAATGTTAATATGGGTCACCTAAGTGGCATAGTAGATAGATTCTTTTTCCAATCGATCCTTCATATCAATATCTAATGAACCTTCCTCACACACTCATCACTCTTTTGCAACTTTTAATGGATCCTTCCTGCCTACTGAACTCCTGACATTGGCATTCGAGGCCTTACCATCTGGTTCCAGACTACTTTTTTCAGCCTTATCTCCTATTACTCCCTTATATATATTCTGTGCTCCAACTAAATCATACTAATCTCAGTTCCTTATCCTGTCCTCACCCTTCTTTGTGTACACACCATCCCACATGCCCAGAACAGATCGCCAACTCTCGCTTGTTTCTCTCCATTGAAATTCCTTTCTTGCTTCAGGATCAGCTAACATATAGGTTAGGGAGGTTATGTCAGGGAATCATGGAAAGCAAGGGCGGAGCCTGATTATGCAGGGTCTGAAAAACTAGCAAAAGGGACCAACGTAGATGGATAGATAGGCAAATAAATAGATACAAATGATAAAAACGCTCTCTTAAAATTAGCTTGCTCCATTCACTAGTACCCTCTACTAAAATCCTATTTTCAGGTCTTATTATTACAAGGTAGTGACCTTTGAGTTCTTAAAGTCTATGCCAGCAGAGAATAAGCCCTGGCAGACCCTATCCAAATTGGAAAGTATTCAAATATGGGTCTACTAATATACTGCAGCTCTGTCATCCAAGGACGGGCCTGGCTAAATTCATAAAGGCTTATCACTAGAATTTAACCAGCAGGTGATGAATTTTTCCAACCACAGAAATTCACGAAGGCCATCAACAAAGCCATAGAGGAGGTGAAATCTTTAGCAATTGAAAAAATACATGTGAAATCATGGATCCCTGAAGGTAATGCTCATATGTTGTTATTATTGTTGGTGTTGTTGCTGTTTAGTCATTTTTCAGTCATGTCCGACTCTTCACGACGCTTTTCAGGGTTTTCTTGGCCAAGATACTGGAATGGTTTGTCATTTCCTTCTCCAGCTCACTTTAGAAGAAACTGAGGCAAACAGGGGTAAGTGACTTGCCCAGGGTCATACAGCTAGTATCTTAGGCTGGATTTGAACTCAGGAAGATGAGTCTTCCTGACTCCAAGCCTGGCATTCTACTGTGCCAGCCACCAAATATTCATATAGGATCATGGATTTAATGACCATAGTGACAATTTAGTATAGCGGTTCTTAACTTGGGGTCCGGGAATGCCTAAGGGTTCTATGAATAGACTTCAGGGTTTTTGTGAACCTGGATGGAAAAAAAAATAGATATTTATTGTCATAAACTCTTGGCTTGCTTTGTAATCTGAAGGATCTTTTATAAATTTAAACATTAGTCTGAGAAGGCATCCATAGGCTTCACTAGACTAACAAAGCCCATGACACAAACAAAAAAGTTAAGAACCCATAATTTAATCCATTTTACAAATGAGGAAACTGAGGACCATAAAAGTTAAATGACTTGCTCAAAGTTACCCAGTTAATAAATGGCAAAATTGGTATTTAACCAAAGGATGTCGGGCTCTGCATGCTCAATTCTTTCCACTTCACTGCACTGCTAGTCATTTTGTCACTTTTTGTTACACTGTATTCAGTTGAAATCTACAAGTATTTGAGTACTTGTATTTGGCCTCAAATACTGAACTAATGATTTTTGGGTCATCATAGCTCTCCACTTCTGTAGCCCTCTAGACTTAACACTTCTAGGCCATCTTAGTGAGCTAGTTGTAGAGTCTAAAAGTGGAAGGCACCTCAGAAGTTATCTGGCCTAGCTCCTTCATTTTACAGAAGAGGAAACTAAGTCACAGGGATAACAAGCGGCAGAGCTCCCAATCCAAGTCTTCTGACTCCCAAAAATTAATCTGTTAAGTGCTTAGCAAAGTACCTGGCACATGATAGTATACATGATAGCCATGAACATAGCTGAAGCAGCCATTGGGGTGTGCCTCGAGCTTGGTCAGACATGGAAGATGCCAAGGTTATAGACATAACCAGTTGTCCTGACTTTTGTCTTGCCACTGGACTTCAGTGACTCTGGAAAAGAATGAGAGAGGCTGATGACTATGCAGTTCTGTCTCACTTAAATCCAACTGATGCCCAATTCAAGATATCACCCATGTTGTCATCGGTCCTCTTCAAAAACAAAAGGCCAACAACAACAACAATTTCCTCCCTCCACCCCTATCAAGGGTGTTATTTCCCACTACACCAGGATGTTTTCATGGTTTCTTTTTTTTTTTCAATGAAGGGTGTTCCTCCTAATACCAGACAAAACTCACTTGCTCCTTATCCTTCATGAGTAGACTGAAGGGTTCTGGATGGGAAGGAGGGACAGCACAGCCTCTAAGTACCTCTCCTTGGAGATGCTCTGTTAGTCTGGGCTGAGTTACTGCAAGAAGTACCTTTTCCAACCAAACTAGAGCTGGAAGTGGACTTGAAGGCCATCGAGATCAACAAAGACTTTCTCCATAAACACCTATGCAACGCCTACTTACAACCTGTATGATGTTAGACATATCACAACCTTTCTAGGACTTAATTTCTTTATCAATTAAAAAAAAGTGGGAGGTAGAGGAGTTAAATTAGATGGCACCTAAGTCCTCTTCTATCTCTAAATCAATGATCCCATGATTTTTCCCTGTGGAAGATACAAAGAAGAAAACACAATCTCTACCTACATGGGGCGCACAAGTCAAAAAATAATGAAACAGTATCTTACATGTGGCTTAATGGAGCTGGTTCATTTGCTTCATATTTTCAAACTATAACACAATTTTACAAAGCCACATTTCTTTTTAGAATTTTATTTTAAATTTTTTCAATTAACAAGCATTTATTGTCTCTCCATAAAATCTAAAAAAAAGTTTTTCGAAGATATTTGTTTCAACAATGTTGTTATTATATAAATTGTTCTCCTGGTCTGTTCATTTCACTCTGCCACAATTCAAAAATTTCATTAATTCAAATGACTCCTACTCCCCCAACTGTAAATTAGTGAGTTTTTACTCTGCTTAGTGCAATGCCATGCACAGAGTCAGCCCTTAATGAACGACCATAGATGAAGCAATTTAGGAAGGCGTTTTCAGCACCTGCTCCCCAAACAACTTCTTGTAAATAAGTAAAAGACCTCAATAGGTCCAATTAGCACCTCTCTTTCATTGATGCTGATTTACCTCTCTTCATTTTTGTATTGGGAAATTTACCAACATAAAACTCCTCCAATGCTATAACTGCAGAACACAGGTGCTCCTTAGAGGGCAAGAAAGCATGCTTGCCTTCTGCATTCATCACATTTTAATGTCTTTTTGAAGCACTAGAGCAAATGAACAATGAACCAAGTTATAAATGAGATACCACACTTTGAGATACATAATACTGCATATCTGTATTGTGTTTTGTAATTTTCACAGGGCTTTCCACATATCATTTGAACCTCACAGAAGTAACACTGTGAGACAGACAAGGCAGGTATTATTATCCCTTAAAAGATGAGAAAACTGATGAGGCTCAGAGACATTTACAGATAAGGCTAAGAAAGGTTAATGTGACGTGACTCACATAAGGTCACAGGGCTGGTAAGTGGCAGAACCCCTATCTTTTGACACCAAGCCCATTTAATATACGATCCTTTTCTTCTAGTGTTGGCATATACCCAAACTCATATGCAGTCAACTCTCAATTACCTATGGGCATGTTATTCAAATTACAACTTATTCATGGTAAATCTTGCTTTTAGCTTCCTTCTGACATTGCCACCTACTCTGCTATTTGACTCTTTTGTTGACATCATAACTATCTCTACTTTCCTTAAGTCTTCATGCTGCAGTGGGAAATTCAAGTTTCCTTCCCCACACTCAAGGCTACCAGAAGTCATCTTTTAAATAAAATCACTCAATTATCTCCTCTACCACCAGAGAATGCGTGAGCTACACTGGTAGCAAACTCAGTGCAAAGGCTATGATGTGTATCATAGTATTTTGCAACAGTCTGAAAGTTGTTATTGTAAATTCAATTCTATTTAATTCAGTTTGACAAACATATTCAGTGCCTACTATGTTACTATTACACACTTGCGAATACAAATTATTTTTAAAATGAAACAGTCTCTGCACTCAAAGAATTTATACCCTGTTAGATTAATTCTAGTCTCCATTTCCAGTTGATTACTGTAGAAACAATGGGAAAGAAAGCCAGCCAGTTCCTCCTAAGTTGTCCTCAACTCTGACCTATTTTGTTGTATATATTATTCCCAAAATTGGATGTGTCTATGTTCACAAGTAAATAGAAAATATACCTATATACAATATATTGTATTATCCTCATTACCGATCTTTCTATTAGTATACACAATCAGATTAATTTTATTTTTAAATAAGTGAAAATTATCTATATTCTTACCATCTAAGTCAGGCTCACAAGGAAAGCGTTAACTAAATCCACCTCCAGAATAACTGACAAAAGTTTCTGAGTTTATAAATCTCAACAGAAATGAAATGGTTATCAAAAGTCAACAAGTAGCTAGAACACAGGTGTCTCGAGCCCACACTCTGCTCTGAGGTTACACATACAGCTATATTTTGAGCCAATGGGAATTGCCAGGAAGCCTCCAAAGAAGGCCTTAAATCACACATATATTGTAATTACACAGCATAGCTGTGGAAAGGGATGAATTTTCTTCTCTAGGTCCACTTCAGTGAAACAAGTTTTGATCAGCTAACTGCTTGAAGAAGGGGGGTTTGGAGGGAGAGGGAAACTCGGACAACAACAAATCCCTCTCTGAATAGAGCTGCCTAAGATTCCAGGAGCAGCTGCAGATAATACAATAGAGTGTTTTTTCCCATTGACATGTTCAAAGCACCAACTCAGGGCTCAGTAGCATCCTTTGTTGAAGGTGGGAGGCTCTTCCCAAGCATGCGACAAGTATATCCTGTCAAGTTGGATCTGCTCATTAGCAGCTATTTCTCATTCGAAGAACGTCAATGAGTGGTTAAGAATATTAATCTTTCCACGATCTCAAGCATTATTCACAAGAATATGTTTCCCAGAGAAAGGCCAAAGGATAAATGCCTCTGTCTCATTCTGTATCGGTGAAAGCAAATAGTGGATGGTAAAAGGCATCTTTCATAAAAACAAAAACAAAGATTAAGTGCAGAGCTTGCTACTATATTTTTATAAAGATAGCCTTATAAGTAGGAAGGTATGTCAGGAACCCTTCAATTCTTAGGATATCTTGATTTTGTATATTTTATGTTGCTTTTATAAATGGGGATTATTCTACAGCAAAAAAAAAAAGTATTTTTTTATCTGTACCTAAGTCTATTCCAAGGAGTTCTTATTAGCCACCACAGCGGAGAGATTGATGGTAAAGGTGACCACATCATTAAGGATATCCAACTATCTATAGAATTCAAACCAGATAATACAATCTTGACTCATGATCAATCGATTAATAAGTATTTGTTGAACTAATACTGTATGTTCAGAATCATGCTAGCAGCTAATAAGGGATACTATTAGATTCTCTGTCTCTACTTCAATTAAGAGCAAAACGGGCCATTAGGCTTTTGATCTCCTAGCTACAACCAGCACTTATGAGCCCAGAGTCACCTGCTCCTAGCCAGGATTCTAAAAACAGTCCAGACTGCAGACAAGATCATCCCAGGTTCAAATTTCCCTTCCTGTTCTCTGGTGTTGCTTTTACAAATGCTAACATCCCGCTCTGCAGACCTAAACTGCGTGTCAGTTAAGACCCACAGTATGCCAAGGTTTTCTTGCCTTAAGAAAATTCTATGAAACCAGCCCCTTAAAAACAACATCAAAAGACTTCAGAACTCTGATCAAGGCGGGGAACAACATGATTTTGGAAGGCAGGTGGTTTAACATGCCTCCTACCTCTTGGCAGAGAAGTGGAAGTCTAGATACACAGAAAGAGGAACACATTTTCTTTCTTTTTTTTTTTTGCTTTTGTTTTGTTTTTGTTTTTC